AGACCTTCGCAAATGTGGTTCCACGGGGACACCACGAAGTTTCCTTCAACAATTTGCGGAATAGTCACCAGCTTGAGTTTGTATGGCGTCAGTCCGTGTTCTGCGAATAATAGTAAAGAAGTTTGATAGTAGGTTTCCGCCCAAAAATTGAAATCAATTACGTTAAAACTCTCCTTAGAACTTCTCAAGATAGTAATACAACGGTTCAAGCTTTTTCTCAAAAGTTCGCTTGCATCCAGAGTCGTTATAGAAAATTTTCCTTTCGCTTTAGGGTCCTCTTTCGTGAACAAATTTGGATGCAATACTTTGAGGACATCAATGGAATTTGCGACGGTTTTATCTGAGGTACCGCTAACTATTTCATCGCACCACACTCCATCATATAGGTCGGTTATTGTTCCAAACTTGGCATCCTAAATTGTAACATTGTAAAATTGAAATTATGAGGATACATTAAAATGGTAATTTAGCATACCTTCAACTCCTCTTTGTCCGCGATAACAGTTAAGGCACCACTTCCAGATAACGATACCGCTCCAACCGTTCCAACTTGTTGCGCATTTTTTGCAGTTCTTGTAAATTGGAAGACGGGTCTCTTGGCATCACGACTTGACAGATTCTGTTCAAAGCGGTGAAGAAACTCCATTTCGAACGGACTTTTGTCGTTGATAATTTTTTGAGCCATTTTTCTCAGGTCACTTTCAACGCATCGAGTGAGCATGTGCGTGGCATCTGGGCAAATGCATCTCACGTCATTAAGGAAAACTAGAGAAGTTTCAGGAATATTCGTGCGAAATGGAATCTTTACATCCGTTCTTCGACCAGTTATTTTGTCGCAAAGGGAAGGTAGAAAACGTTCGTCTTCTACATAAAGTGCCATCTTAGAAGGGTAATCTGTAGACAGGTCGTTTCCGGAGCCCAGTATCAGTCGATGGAGAAACGGGGTATCTCCACTGTACGTCAATTTTGCTCCCAAATTTTTCAAATGATTTGTTTGCTGGAATAACCACCCTGACTCTTGACATCCGACAACACTCGGTCCCAAGTTCAACTCCATCGCAAACCTTGAGTCTTTTCCTCGATAAGCTAAAAAAAATCATTTTAGTCTCAAGTTGAGAAAAAAACTTGCGAAGAAATGATTTTAAAATGATTTTAGAAAAAGGAGTACCTGCGAAGCAGAAGACGCTCGTAGCAGATTGGGCGCTAATATCTTCAGAAAGTAGTCTAAAAGCCATTCTCGTAACTTCTGTGCCACCAATTTCACAACCGTCACCCCAAATATCGACTTTAACGTTGTTGATGTTTTCTGTTTTAAACGATAGAAAAACAGCTAGTTGTATACATGCAACCAAGTCCGTTCTGAATCCAGAGAAGGACTTCTGTGGTTTGCACAAGGCCAAAAAGTGATTTACAAGGCTTGCAGTTGATCGTTGGACATTTCTCATTGAGGGTACTAAATTATGTCCGAGGCCAATCAGTTGTAGTCTATTCCGGATAATGTTGATCACTTCTTCTACGTTTCCAGTTTTACAAGCGATGCCCAAGCAAAACTCAAAATCCTTCGTTGAACCTCTTTTAGAAAATAGTTCCATCGCCAAATCTCGTAAGACATTTGTGTCATTCTTTCTATACCCAGAATACGTCTTTTTACGGCTGAATGCGGATTGTCGAATCAATTTAACAAATGTGCTTATTTGAATTTTTTTTTGTCGTATCAGTTTCAGCACTTGTCCCCATAGTTGTTGGGAGTTGTCAGCTGTTATAGACATAAATTTTGATCGTTTCATTATCCTGGAAACGTGTCTTGACTCTTCCAATGTTTGAGGTAGGTTTGATTGAGTGCCGCACTGTTCAAATGAAAATGATGTTTCGGTTGCTTTGAGCGCTTTATAAGGATCAACTTCGTCAGGTATGAACATTGGACCGAAGAAACATTTTACTAGCTCCTTCCGAGTCTTGGTCCAAGGCATTTCTCTTGAACCACGAAGAATTACGAGTTGCATTACGCGAGCCTAAACAGTGTTGTGTTGTCCCAATTGGATATAAATTTTATTGAAAGTTGAATTTTAATTGAACGTAAAGTTGAACGTAATTGAAGTTGAATTAATCAACGTAAAGAATGTTTGGTGACTGAAAACGATAAATTTGTGAAGAGTTACTTACTGCTAAAATTGTAGCTTTTTTTGATTGTCCCCGCACAGATATCTGACGAAGAACATCAGAAACGATCCACTTATCCGTCCCTGCGAGCATCTCTTCAAGAATCTTTGATAACTTGTCGTACTTTTTTTGGATAAACTTTTCGGCAATTGCATCCAGAATGTTACAGTCAACAAACTGAAGGTTAATGTCCGAGTCGGCGCCAGAAATTAAAAATTTATTCCATAATTCCATTGTTCAAGTTGACAATTGTGAGTAACTTTTGTTGAATCTTTCGATGAAGGACTTTTTTCAAAACAATGATGAATTGAATTTATGCAATGGTGATTTAAAGTAACTATCATAGGTACTATATGATATAGTGTGAATCTTGACACTGAGTTGTGCGCACGCGCGTGCAAATTTTTTCTGACAACAAGTTACTAACTTATCCTATTATGAGACTCAAGCTTAAGTGTTGAATAGTTTATGAGACTCAAGTTTTAGTGTTGAGTAATCATGAGTAGTATTCATATTCAACTCACAGGCTGTTTTTCTGAACTTCAAATGTTGAACATCAAATGAAACTAGTTAAACTAAACTAATATAAAATTTGCTAGAATGCTGAAATCCTGTAAATGACAAATGGAATCAATGACAAATCCTGTAAATTGACAAATCCTGTAAATGACAAATCCTGTAAATGACAAATCCTGTAAATGATAAATGACAAATGAAAACTAAACTAATTGAAATATCTGTATATACAGTATACAGTATAGAGTATATAGTATACAGTATAGAGTGATACAGTTGAGAAGTTAAGAAGTCACTTAAGTCACTAAAAGATTTCTTTTGTTAATCATGGTATCATTAACAGTTGTGTTAATCATGAAATCCATGGCAAAACACTAAACATTTCTAATTTTGTGTATTGATAATTGTTGTAAAATGTCATGGAATCCGGTCCCTTGGTAAAGTCCCGGATTCCAGAACACGCAGAAGCCAAAAGCCCAGGAATCCATGGTAAAACCGTTTTTTAATGCGTTTTAATATGGTATCGGATTCCATGGTTTTTGTCATGGATTCCGGGATTGTCACAAAATCGGTGGTTTTAGCTGTCCCGGAATCCATGACAAAAGCTGGTCACATACAAACTGGTTTGAATTAGGAATCCACGGAATCTAAAATTATCAAAGAAAATGCGTGCGTTCCGGAATCCGGGACACACGATTTCAAGCTTTTTGGCACCGATTCCGCAAAAACCAAATAACACGGATTGGCGACGTAATGGAAAATCATTGTAAATCAGATTATGGACAAAATATTATGTAACAAAGAAGAAAAGAGTCAGCATAAAATAAATTTTGATCTCAAAAATATGCAATTAGAGGATAGAAAATCATGATTGTTAATCAAATTTTTTGTAAAAACTTATGAAATTAATCAAGAAAATGTGTCAATATAGATCAGTTTTTGAACTCAAAATATGTAAGAAAATCATAGAATTTTATGGATATTTTGGTCTTTTTTTGTTTTTTTTTAAAGCTACAATACACTATGGATGTGAATTGAAAAGTGATAGACAACAAACAAATGCAATAAAAACTCAAAATTGACGAAACTCGAATAAAAAAAACGCTTTAAATCGATTTAAATACGCTTTATTTCTCTTAAAAATAAAAACAAATTAAGACTGGAAAAAGTGGATTTGGATGGATTTAAAATGAGTTTGGATCCGTTTTTGTAGCAGGGATTTAGGATCAATTTAAATCGATTTTAAATCGATCCAAATCAATCTTTATCTTTTTTATTTAATCTTCGTACTTTTTTCAACTAAAATCAATCTAATTTTGTTGAGTATTTTTTTTCATCCTAAAATTGATCCAAATCCATTTTTGTCAGTGTGGGTGATTCAATATTCAGCAAATAATTTTTGTATAATAGGTTGCCTTGATTCTGCTTTGTTTGTCTTACTGTCTCTCATAACTCTTATTAAATTCACTGTCTGGATCAGATCCGTCTCCTTCGTCATTCACACAAAACTTTCACTTAGCTGCCAACTTGCTCACTGTGAATGTCTCATAAAAAAATGTTACGAAACCAAACTATGCACTGGTTAGGCGCACAGTTTTGTGTTTGTATGTTGCTGGATTCCACTTACAAAATTAGAGTGATTCCGCGTAAAAATACCTGTAACGTAATTTTTGTCGGCACACTGATTTTGTTGCGATGTGTGCAACGAGAAAATATAGGTAGTTGTTCCGGATTCCGCAAATGGAAGTGGATTCCGCAATTTTATGCGGATTCCGCATACAATTTGCGGATTCCGCTTACAATTTGCGGATTCCACTGACAGTTGCGGTTTCCGCGACAGCTTAAATTTACTTAATACATGTATTATTATTTGTTCATGGATTCCACAAACTTGTTCTGGATTCCAAAAAATTATTTGTGGATTCCGCAAAGTTATCTGTTTTTGGAGCAATTTTGAGCAATTCAGTGTTTTAGCTATTTGTCCGTGGAATCCAAACCAGCAGAAAGGATCAAAAAAAGCAATGTTGCGGATTCCACCACAAATCTGGTTTTTGCCTGTTGCGGAATCCGCTTACAATTCACAAAATGCACAGTTTGGCCTCGTAATGAAAAATTTGACATTTTTGTTTTTTGAAATTAAGCAAACAGAATTTGCGGTCGCAGCCATGCAGGTATTTTCACACAGCTCAATTCACACAGAACTTATTCACACAGCTCAATTACTTAGCTGCCTTTTGACTCTAGATATCTTAAGAAGACTGAAGTTACGTCATTGTTGGGTAATGCGCTGTAGCTGTACAGAATAGATGGAATATTCCGTTCAGTCAGTCTCCTTTCCCTTTACTTTCCTGTTATTTCCCTTTTACTTTTCTTGACGCTGTTTTGCGTGCGTGCGGTCGATTTTACTCGTAGATATTTAAAAAAGTGTTCAATAAGCAATTGAAATTGTGTTTTTTTGCTGTCTTTTATTTAGAAATCTAGAAAATAAAATTGAGCCGGTTTGATCTACGTTTTCCGCGAAGCTTAAAAAATGTTTTCCGCGAAGCTTACATCATTTTATTTTCCTACCACTTCCGAAACAGTAAAATTACAAACCTGTTTGGGCTATATGACGCTATAAGGCCATAGTTTTTGGTTATGAGTGGCAAAAATTTCTATTTTGGAAAAATTTTATAGACTAACTCACTAACTTTCCTAAATTTTCATATACTATTTACAAACACGCATCCAGTTTTTGGCGTTAATAATCAATTATTATATGATTTTAGTAACAGTCTTAGAAAAATTGAGAAAAAATTGATTTTAATTAATTACTTATCGATTATTATCTCTCTTTTTGAAATCAAATATAAACAACTATTATACATTATAATCGAACATAATCAATTATTTTTATCCAAATTTTTAATTTGTTTGTTTTGCAGAACAAATCCATTATATTCGATTATAATTGTTTATAATCCCTTTTGTTTTCCCAATTTTTCTTCGACCTTACACATGAATTTTGTTGCGTTGGTTTATTTAAAAATTATAAAATTGTTATAACAATTTTCAAATAAATTCAAATTTAAAACGTTTTTTTTTCTTTTTTTCTGGATTATATTTGTTTCATGATTCCCATTTTAAATTTTTATGATCAGCAAATTATCAGCACACTGCTTTAGTTCCATGATTAATATAGAAGAGTCATATTCCACTTACCGCGAGATTCTTTCAACTAGCATGAAGGGATCTCTATGAAACTTTTGTGTCGCGGTAAAACTCTGTTCAAATGAACCAAGGAAATCCAAGACATCTCATTTTTATAGGTTTTTGACAGAAAAAGCATTATAATCTAATATAATAGACTATAATTGATTATAAGAGAATATAAGAGACTTTCAGAAAAACTATGTTCAATTATAATTGATTTCAATTTTTTATAATATCAAGAAAAGTTTTATCATTATTATCGATTATAAATAATTTAAACATTTAAATTTGGTGCTTATAATTAATTAAACTTTTAATAAAAGTACAATTGTAATTGTAATTGTAATATAATCGATTATTTTCTCTTTTTTTTCTCAGTGCGGGAAAGCGTCTTCTAGATAAAATTTTGAAGTCTGGGGATTGGCTAAATTAAAATGTTGAGGAAAAGCACTAAAAAGTAGACCTTCCGGGCGACTAATTTTTTGAAATTTTGGCCGTTGGGCGTTCCACTCCTTGATTAAATGTGTCACTGTAAATATACCAATAATGCCAAAACAAGAAAAATTGTAACTCAGCTTTTGTTTGAAGTAGTTTTTTTTGTAACTTTGGACTATCAATTTTCTTACATAGTATAAAGTTTACTCAGCATCAATCTATCCCGGGTTGACCTCCATATAAAAAAAATTCTTGTCATACAACTCCATAAAAGAAAAATGCTTATCGTGCAATTTCATACGCGGAGTCTTTGAGGCGATGATGTTAACTTGGGGCGATGATGTTAACTTTGGGGGGATGATGTCCAAATTTTGTTTCCGAAACTTCAAACAATCGCTTTTTTCTTGAAGTGCCATTCAATCAAAATTTTTTAGAAAGGTCAACAATTGATCAATCAAGCAACCAGATTAATGGACAAGTCATCAAAACCACTTATTGAAGTCATGGATTCATCACAGATCAATAATTCTCGATTTGCGGAAAAAAATTAGCTGGCTTTTGTTAATGTTTTTTTTTACTTATGATCAAGGGCGGATTTAGGAGGGAGGGAAGGGGGTTAACGCCTCCCTCCTAGGGGATTCGACCACCTGCCGACCCAAAGGGTCCTCCCTTTGTACTAGCATGAAGGGATCTCTATGAAACTTTTGTGTCGCGGTAAAACTCTGTTCAGATGAACCAAGGAAAGCCAAAACATCTCATTTTTATTTTTTTTGACATAAAAAAGCATCATAATCTAATATTACAGACTATAATTAATTATGAGAGATTATAAGAGACTTTCGGAAAAATTATATTCAATTATAATTGGTTTCAATTTTTTATAATATCAAGAAAAGTTTTATCATTACTATCGACTAGAAATCATGTAAACATTTAAGTTTGGCGCTTGTAATTAATTATAATTTTGATAAAAGTACAATTGTAAATGTAATTGTAATATAATCGATTATTTTCTCTTTTTCTCTCAGTGCGGGAAAACATCTTATAGGTAAAATTTTGAAGTCTGGGGATTGGCTAAATTGAAATGTTGAGGAAAAAGAATTAAAAAGTAGACCTTCCAGGCGATTAATATTTTGAAGTTTTGACCGTTGGGCGTTCCACTCCTTGATTAAATGTGTTCCTGTGAATATAACATTAGAGCCAAAACAAGAAAAATTGTAACTCAGCTTTTTGTTTGAAGTAGTTTTTTTGTATTTTTGGCCATTCAATTTTCTTACATAGTATAAAGTTTAGTCAGCATCAATCTATCCCGGGTTGACCTCCATATAAAAAAAATGCTTGTCATACAACTCCATAAAAGAAAAACGCTTATCGTACAATTTCATACACGGAGTCTTTGGGGGGATGATGTTAACTTTGGGGGGATGATGTCCAAATTTTGTTTCCGAAACTTCAAACAATCGCTTTTTCTTGAAGTGCCATTCAATGAAGAATTTTTAAAAAGGTTACACAATTGATCGGTTAAGCAACCAGATTAATGGACAAGTCATCAAAACCACTTATTGAAGTCATGGATTCATCACAGAATAATAATTCTCGATTTGCGGGAAAAAAATTAGCTGGCTTTTGTAAATGTTTTTTTTTACTTATAATCAAGGGCGGATTTAGGGGGGAGGTAAGGGGGTTGATGCCTCCCCCCTCGGGGATTCGACCACCTGCGACCCAAAGGGTCCCACTTTGTACTATCTTGAGATATCCATTTTTGGAAACGGACCGTAAAATTTTTCTAAAGGCGCCTTTGGCGCCAATATACCAATTCTAAGGGGGAGCCCGGGCCAAAAGTAAACGTTTTTTTTTGTTCAAAAATTTCTAAAACCTGCCTAAAAATCTTTTCCTCGCTTGGCGCTTTTCTAAAACCTAAACAAAAAGTTTTCCGTTGTCTTATTAAAATCATTTTCACGCAGTTTGTAGAACCTTTTACAGATGGTGAAATCTAGCATATCAAGGCCCATAATAACTTTCTGAGTGCTCAAAACCAAAAAAGTTTGCGTTCATACTGGGCAGTTCAGATTAATTGCTGCCAGTTGCTGTAAAAGTTTGATCAAACTCTGAAAAAATCGTGTTAAATAACAGTTATTTTTAAAATTAGACTTTTCATTGAAATAAAACCTATTTTTGTTTTTTATCTTTCCATTTACCGTAGATTTTTTCACTTACATAAGACAAAAGCCAGTAGAAATCTTTGAATCCAAATCGTTATTTAGTCATGCTTTTTTGCTAAAAATAGGATTGAAAAAAAAACATTACTATACATCATGCTTGACATTTTTTCGTTCTAAAGAGCAATTTTGCAGTGTTTTTTTTTGTAAAATGCCGCATATTTTTTAAAAATCATTTTGAATCGACAAGCGCACAATTAAAAGCACATGTTTCGTTCCGTGTTAAGATTCAATTCAAAAACACTTGTGACTTCAGTGTCCTGTAAATCTCTAAAACGCCTCTAGACCAAATAAGGTAACACGAATTCTGTTGATTCTTTCTTTCCTCTTGCCTCAGTTATTATTTTGTGTCATAAATTAGAAAATCCATATTTTAACAATTCCCTTAGTCGCCTTGTTCAGTTCAATTAGAAAGTGGCTTCTTGCTTTTCACAATTTTTTTGCTTAAGCAATCGTTTTGACACCTTTCCTTTACATATTGCAGCATAAACGAGCAAGATTTTTGGGTTTCGGTTAATGAACTTCGTGAGTTTATTTTCTTGGATTTGAATTGCGACACTAACTTTGAGTCATAATAGATTTTATTTATAAAAAATTGAAGTGTATAATTTAATTTGTTTCGTCTTTATTGGTCGAGCTTATTTGACACAAAGTTATTGAACTGTCTTTTCAACATTTAACACTTGAAGCGTTACCCTTAGAACTTTCACAAATTACCGTTATACCCCATTAAGCGCTATAATACCAATACCGATTTACTCGTCCTAGACGGTATACCACTCTCCAAGTTTTCCTGTTGGCTTGTAGCCTGAAGTATCGGGTACTCGAATATTAACCTAATACAGAACAGACATTTTGCGGTCACACCTATTTTAATACTATTACCCGTTGTTTGGGCTTCATATAGGACATTTGTTTATCTTCGCAAATTTACAGATTACCTCAAATCTAGACAAAATCTCGCTCTATCAACTCTTTAGAAATAATCGCACTGTTTATATTCCTTTAAAAGAGTGGACATCTCATTTTGGAAAAAAACGTGTTTGTCTTCCGGTATGTACATTTCCAAGACTATCCAATTTTGTGTCTTTTTAAAACCGTCAAAACTTAGAAGCTTGTTTTAATACAGCTTTTAAAAGCCGCATTCGAATGTACGTTTAACTAGAAAAAAAAATAGGATTCCTCGTCAGATACTTACAAGTTTGTGCAAAACTCTGTCAGAATCTTGCAAGTTTTACAAGTCGGGGTGAGGCTGATCACTGTTTTTATATTGGGTTATGCGCAAGTTTGAGTAAATCTGTAATGAATATTCAAAATTTGCGTAAATGCATGCTAAAAATTATTTAAATTGGCATTTTATACGAAAAAAAAATATATTTTTTTTTCGGCGAACGAGCTTTCATATTTACCAATCATTAGTACAGAGAGCGCTTCCAGAAAAAAATAACATGTTGTGACGCAAGTTCTTCAAGTAGAACCAACGGGGCTCTCCTTTCCTTTGAGTGAGCTCCTATAGTTCCGCTCGTTATTTTATCAAAACTTTAAACAAACTTAAAATAGCAATAGGAATAAGAACTTTAGCAACTAAAAAGCGCACATCATTTACATACAGTCTAAGAAGACCTCTAATTCTCAGCCAGCTGAATTATTTCGTAACCACTATTGAACCGCATCCGTGAAAATGCGCTAAACACCTTAGACAGACATTTTAATCGACCTGTTTAAACAGCTTTTATGAAGGAAAAAATGAAAGATTATTTTCTCTGACGAAAAACCTTAAAGAACTTCCTGTACGTCCCAGAGTAGGATACCATACCCTAACATACTTTCACAATTTGTTGAATAACAAGACTGCTCGTATCAAGGCGAAACCCTGAAATTTCCTATTGCCTTTCAAGGTCTATGGAGCAGTAATAACATGAGAAAATAATTGCAAAATAAATAAAATGGATTTTTTGAGCACTGGAGGTTTTTTGTGAAAATTATTCCCCCACACGCCATGTAAGATACAAATTCATAGATTTTGCTCCTAGTAGCAAAAAAATAACAGCAACTCAATTACAGCAAATAAGCTTCCTTAAACCACTTTTCAACGATTTTTGGACAGATTAAACCTCCGCTTACGCGTCAATAGCGCGAACTATATCGCTCATTAATTGCCCCCAGTTGGCCAAAATGGAAATATTTAAGCCTCCATAATTTGATCGCACCTGGATAATTTTTTTCAAAATAAAGTTCAGGACAGCAAGACTTTTTGATTGATATAAAAATTTTTGTCAAAAATGGCTAGTTAAAAGTCGAAATTTGTCTGAAATTAAAAAAATTACCCCGAGCACTAACTTTCCGTTACTCACATTACAAAGGTTGGAACAATAAATAACCACGTTCTTATCGAAGATAATTTCCAAATCACGAATTTTGCAACTTAAAAGCAGGTACTAAGGAAGTAAACTTTGTTTTAACGGTGACAAGTAATTGTAAAGACAACATTTCCGTGTCAAATTATGCAATTGATTTGATATCTTGCCTGAAAAACTTAAAGCCACAACCTCCTATCCTCTGTTAAAACACAACTGAACAAATTATTCAGAGTTGCTTGCTATGTAGCTGCCAAGTTTCAGTAACACTTTGTTGATTGTAAGATTGATTGTAAGATTAAGACTACAACTGCCCGGGTTGACCAAAAAAGCTTATCATAGAATTCTCATAAATGGGAAAAATTTTTTCCTACAACTTCATACAATTCCATACGTACAGAAAGTTGTTTGAAAACTCTATAATAAACATTTTCACATAAATGGAAATTGTGTGATAGGTGTTTTCTCCATAAACCAAAAAGTTGTTTTTTGTTTCTAAATTAATTTTCTAAAAAAAATTTGGGTTGTGTTTGCAACCGAACACAAGTGACAAAGACCTTGGTTACTCAGAGCACAAAAAGTTGGACGGTACTACATTTGCAATGCATGAAAATCGACCTGAATTGTCTTCTAGGTGTCTTTCACAAAATAATATAACAAAAGTAACAAACTTTTATTTTTTGCAAAATTTTTCAGTGATGATTATTTTAATTTTTTGAATTTTTAATCTATCAGATATTGATCAAGGCATACATAAACACGCCATACAAAAGAAATAGGAATTTGAACAAAAATTTTAAGTGAAAAGATAAACAAAGCCAATATTATTGTATCCAGGACTACGTTATGCACACAAGAAATTAATTTTTGCATACAAAAAATTTTTTTCGGAAAATGTTTGTGTCGTCATCAAAAAGTATATGAAAATTGTATTGAAAGCATTTTTTTTCAAAAAATGTTTTAAATCAGTTTTGTTTGTCACCAGTCTGTTCAACTGATCTCAAAAAGCCGCAGAAATGGTTTAGTTTTTTTCTAGTGTTTTTCGAAAATGTATGAAAATTGTATGACAAGCATTTTCTCCATACACTTGATGTATGGAATTGTATGATAATGATTTTTGTTGTATGGAATTGTATGTTAAGCATTTTCGGTGTTTGGAGGTCAACCCGGGTGAATAGTTAAGTATTTCACCGTAATTGTTACCATCTTGAGATCACCTGACCCAAAAAAGTTTTTTGTGTATATTCAAGTTTAAGTAACTAGATTCAAATAAATAATTTTCGAAGTTTTTCTTGAGGCGACGCAGTCAGTTTTAAAGTCGGATAGCTAAATGAAGTTCAATTTTCAATCAACAAAAATAATTATTAGTCTAAAGTGCTAGTTTTGAGACTAGCACTTCATACTAGCAATGTAAGAGGTAGTGGCAATCCCGTTCAATCATTCGTTCCACGAGTCCGGAATCAGCGACGCCGGGATGTCCTCCATATCTTCAGGGTGAATTAGCCAGTGTGTGAAATCATGACACTCAATATGACACGCCCAAGTAGCAGTAGTGAACTGGTCTGGTTTCGCCTGGTATTTCCACATTGGGTGGGGGATCCTTTGATATCTGGAACATCTCTGGCACTTGTATCGGAGATTGTTCATAGAACCTAAACGCAAATATATGTTTTCAGGTTTGCTATTCGAACTGCTTTTGAGTTCCCCGATTGCTAAAAAAATTCGATTGTTAAGAAAAGTCTGCGATATTTTGAAGTTCATATTTTTGTTGCAAATACTTGATCAAGTTTTTCTGAAATATTTCTATTCACCTATAAGACAATTATCGCATAAGTTCTTGTCAATTAGCACGCGCTGCTGGCAACACATTCGACACTGTCCCCGAACTTCGACTTTTTCAATTGTCTCCTCTTGAAACTTGAACACTTTGTTGCAGACAGGGCAGTTGGCGCAATTTGGCTGTTGGTTTTCGGCTTTGTCAACCATTTCGGCTAAACAACCGCTGCAGTATTTGAGAATTGAAGAACTGCAGCACGGCATTTCAAAGAGGGAGTCAGAACTCTCGGCATCTTTCATGCATACACAACAACCTGTCATTTTTAATAATTTAGGCTTCCTTTTCCGTTTTCAGTTTGCGGTTTCAGGAATTGCGCTCTTAATTTTGGAGAAAAAGTTTGAAAATTGGAGTATATAAGGTCAATTGAATGCGATTTTGAAAAAGGTTTTGATTGTCAGTTAAGAAATGTAAAACTACCAGAGTGAATCAAATATTTGCCAATAGCGCAGGTGTCGCAGAACACTAATGTTCGAAATCCGAAATTGTATTCAAAATCTGAACATATATCGGACACCTCTCAATCTTCAAACAAAACAGTCAAATATGTTAAATCGAGCTGGAGCCTTGAGCAGAATGATCTAATGGCAGAGTACTGAGTTAATAATATCGGAACAAGCATTTATAATACTAGTCGAAACCAGACTGGTGGCGTTTTGGTGTCCCAGTCATGATTTACTGAGAGAACAATTTAGTCAATTTTATAATAAATAGCAGAAAGTTTGGAAAGGGAGAAATATAATTAGTAGCAAAAAGTTCGGACAGACAGAATTAATTAAAATGAGCAAGCAGTGCTTTTCGACGCTTTTTTGCATGCAAAATCTGAAGCCGAACAACCTTGAATTTTTTGTCAGACCAAATTCAAAATGCGAGATTGTCGGTTATCCGATGATTATGCTAGCCTAAATTTTAAATACTGCGATGAACATCCAGATTTAACTATAAAACAGTTCGGCGCTTCGGATGCAATTGCCCGCCGTGGTTATATATTTTGAGCAAAACTCGGATCTACTTAACAATCTCAACCACCCCCCTCCCTTCCCCTATTGTTTTACTAAATAATATCCACCCCTGTAAATAAAAACAGTAATTTCGCACTAGAGCATTGTATTTTGCTGCATTCTGATTGGTCGAAAGTTCGCTGCCAGTAATCTAATTAACAATCTCCTCCCCTTTCTTGAAAGTGGGGATTGTTAAGTAGATCCGTTAAGTAGATCACTCTGCCTTATGAACTTTCGATGTTATGTTTATTTCAGTTTTAATTTCAGTTGATGTCTAGACAGTTGCTCTTTTTAATTATTTCTGTCTGTCCGAACTTTTTGCAACTCTCTATAAATTGAAAAGAGCAATGCTCCAAAAAATTCGCACCAAACTACAGTGCTGATTTAAATTAACCGGACAAAACGAGCTAAACTTGAAATTTAAAACGCGTTTTTCTCAAATTGGGTTGAGTTTAGATGAAAACTTATGAAGACAAAACTTGCTTAAAAATTTAGCAGAATTAATATGGCGTAATTTGTTTTGCAAAATTCGAACCCAAAATTTAACCCCAAAAATGGGTCATTTTGGCTTTTCTTAGTTATTCAGAAATAACGCCAAAATTGCCCAGTCAATCATAGACACAATTATATCAAAATGAGGCCCTTGCGTAGCCCAACAAACTTTAAGAAGGGTATATTCTCCAAAACTTTTTAAAAAGATAATTTATTTTTGTTTGATAGACAAAAAGGTCGTTTTTACTATATAAAATACCAACTTTTTTTTAAAAAAACCTTTTTTAAGCGGTTTGCAATTTTTTTTTGGAGAATAACCCTTCTTAAAGTTTGTTGGGTTACGTAAGAGGCTCACTTTGATATAATTAT